CCACCGGCATCGTTGACAGAACAGTTCTTCCTATGAGTTTGAATTGCCGCTGAAATAATATGACCCCCCAATAAGCGATGCACAAAGTTTCTTGGCTTCGTATGTCGATGGCTAGGGTGCATGTGACATCCGTGTTGTGCTGAGAGCTTGACATGCTGCTGAAATGACCGTGCGGCATCCTCAGAACGGTCTCAGTCTGAGCAGTATGCTCACCGTCGCGGGCACGCTGCCAAACATCATTCATTCACACATAAGCCCGCTTCAGCAACACATAAGCAAAAACACGAAACCCTAGGTACCTGAGGAGGGATAGCGTATATACATATATATATACATATACATATACATATGTATGTATATGTATATGGATGCACGCATGCATATGTGTATGCATGTGCGTAAGCATATACCTAGATGATGACAAGTCTGCCCGATACCTGTAGGCGGCTTTGAAGTCATCGAGGGTCTACAGGCGACCCTTCTTGAGTGGCAAATATGTGTGGGCAACAGTGATTCAAATGTGTGAAGCAAGACGAAGCAGTGGCCTTGGAGGCCTGTTTGGGATACGCTTCACAAAGAAGAGCCTGACGAGCTTGCAAACTTGCTTATCAGGCAGGGGACTGCAACCTCTTGACTCTTGACGCTCAGAGCCATTTGAACCTTATGCTTCCCATGTAATTACTCGAGGCCGAACTTGTGCCTCCACGGCTGGGATCCTGGAATTCGCCAGAGAACGACTCACCTGCGAGCAAGAGCAGATCCGGGCTGTAAACCCGAGCTTCGTTTGCCCTGGGCATGACAGACTGCTAGCCGCTGCTAGCCGCTAGCCGCTGGCCGCGTCAAGCGACTTGCAGGTGGGCACCTCGTTGCCGAGGAGCCGCAGATCTTGAAAGACACCACCTGGCACGGAGCAGCGTCTTCAGAGTGTCTTGACACACCCGACGAGATGAAGACAACGTTTTTGTCAGGTGCGGGAGCTTTCTGGCTTGCTGGCCATCAGTCAAGCAGCCCACTCGCAGCTCAAGGAGACCAGATTGCATCGCCCAGATCCCTGTGGTAGGATAGGATAAGCGGTGTCTGAAGGACTTCCTCGCCCCAGGCAGGGTTGTCAGATCAATGCCCCGTGGACAAAGTGGTACTTGTAGGCACAACCTGGGCGAAGAATGCTTTTGGAGAGGCCACCAATGCCTGCTTGCACATGAGATGTGGAATGATGTGGAACATCGGACATCCACATCATGGCCAGGTCGGGTCACGGCACCCATGTCGGGCATGGCAGTCTGGCCCAGAGTCGCTCATTCCTAATGCCCTTCATTTTGACCCAGGCCGGGGCGAAGGCTTATGTGGGAACATGTGGGAACGTAGGCAAGCGGTGCGCTGAGCTGGAACGGTCTCAGGCATCAAGAAGCGTGAAGAACTTGTCGAGGAGGTTCTGCTGTCACAAAGAGCTTACGAGCTCCAGGAGAGCTTCGCCTTCGAGGCGTAGTGCTCGCCTGCCAGCAGCTTTGATGAGGACACAGCTGCACACGACCTAGTGGCCACGGCCTTATTTTGCCCTTCTGCAAAATCAGTGTGGTGCTGTTCTCTGCTGTGCTTGTTGCTGTAGATGGCTCTGAAGGCTTCACGTTTGCACCTCCATTTCGATACGCTGGCAGATCTTTGCCACGGTCTGGCTTGCGCAGAGCGTTCGCTGGACATAGTTTGGCTTCGAAACAGGCACTTGGTTTGGGATCTCTGATCTCTTAGCATGTGGGTGCATTCCATCTTGGCTGCAGGTTTCGTGAGCCAGATTGCTTCGGGTACCCATGTGTGCAGAGTCTTTGCTGTGCTGGCAGAGTTGTGTTTTGTCTGGTCTGCTGTACCCGGTGCCCTTCCAGTTTTGAAGCTCAGGCTGGGAGTTCGACAACGTGTCCAAGATCCGCGTCATATGTCCAGGGACCGTTGGCTACCGCTGTGATTCATTTCGGTTCTGGGTGGAGCAGTTTGCTTTCCCACAGACTGCAGAAAATCGGAGCGTAGCAACCCTCTGAAGGTGTGCTTGCCAGTGTGCTAGAAGAGGAAGGCATCACACCTCGGCATTCTGCAAAGAGCTTCCGCCAGAGACATTTGCCGAACAGATCCAAACAGTTACACGGTTCGGTTGGCTTGCAGTTCTTCAATGAATGTGTAGAATACTTCTCTGCTGGACTGCAGCAAGGAGTGTATGTGGGATCACATCAGCAAGATCAGCTTCCATCACAATTCTCTTTTCGAGGCGACCGCGACAAGTTTTTCTGTCTTTCTATGTCAAGTTCTAGCGGCAGACGATTTGCTGTAGAACTCCATTAATTGCAGGCAGGGTGTGGTTTTAGAAGAGGGCTCAGGGCTCCGAAGATCTCTAAAGTGCAGGCAGGGCCAACAAAGCCCATGTGGTTCACCTGATGTTTTGTGGCAGCTCTGTCCAGCAATGGACTAATTAGCTTCCTGTGGATCCCTGAACTGAGAATGTTGCCATGGCGATGCAATTATCCAGTATGTTGTACATGTAAAGCAAGTGGCAGGTAGCAAAGCGCGCAAATGTCGAACGTAACCAGACTGCGAGGCCAAGGCAGGAGAGGAGGCCTTGGAACTACGCGAGGACTTGCCGGACTCGGGAAGAAGCGGATTTTACACTCGTAGATCAGATGTGTTTTGTGGAGCATGAGGAGCTTCATGCAGCGCTAGCTGCCTGCGGGATTCGCAGCCATCTGAGCACGGCCAAGGCTTGCGCAGCTCCGCCATGCTTCGCCTTTCCGATGTGGAGATTTCAGTGCCTCGAAATCGGTGTGAGTGTGCCAGTTGCAACCTCCGCCTTTAGACGCACAGACCAAAGGGTGCTGCTCCTCTGGAGATTTGCGGATAAGTTGTATGCTGTTGTGCGGCATGCTGAGAGTTTGGTCAGCCGTTCTGGAACTACGGTTCTAGAATGGCATCCGGTTTGGGGGGTTCGCGAGAACTTGGACACCTGGCTGCAGGCAGCCGTTGCACATGTTCTCGTGTTGACCTAAGCGGCATTGCGGAGTTTCGTGTGATATATTTGGTTTCGAGAGGTCCTGACTGGTCCTGACAGAGTTGACAGGATTGCACCGAACGGCGCATGCGAGGCCTTGGCTGGTGCTCAGTCCTTTGATTTGCCAAGGTTTGCTTTGTGCAGCCCCTGTGGGGACGCAGGGAGCTGCGACGCGGAGCTTGAGCGGGTGATGGCCTTTTTGGAGCGGTGCGCCAGCAACGACTGACAGAGATGCCAGAGATCATGGCCTGAGCAATTGGGGGATCCTTGTTGTTGCGTTGTCTTCGCCCTGACCCAGCTTCTCCGGTGAGTCTTTGCATATGGGGTCGACAAGCAGCGATCTTGCTAGGAACAGTGACGTCAGCCGACCTGAACGTGATTCAAATAAAGGAAATCTAAACACAGTTCAATCGGCACTATGCCTACCCTCAGCACGCTTTCTTAGCCTGCACAGTAAACTTTAAAGGGCTGGCCTCCTACAGCCTAGTCATTTTCAAGCGCATGTGCTTGCACCTTAACTTCTGCATGCTAGGTCTTGTCGAGGGATTACAGTGAGGGGTCCATAGCCTGCGCTCCGGAAAGGAACAGCAGCGGGTATTCGGATCTGCAGTTGGAGATGGTCTTGAAGCGGCAGCTTCACGGTTGTTCCTCCGAAGTGCCATGAATCTCAAGGGTGCTGATCGTGTTAATCACTCGAATCCTCCAAGCCCGAGCTTGTTTCGGGTCAACGGGTTTAGTTGATGAAGAAAGTATATAAAAAGGGTTCTCAAGAAGCTTCTAGCTGCCCATGCCTGACATGGTGTTAACGCGCGACAATCCACGACAACTGTTCACAGCTACGTCGGTGTGTGAGCCAGTCTCAGTCTTGCGGTTGGGCAGGGCAAACAGGGCGAGCAGAAGTCGGTAACACTCCCAGTCAGAACAGCTTCAAGAAACGACAAGAGGACAAGACAAGACATTTGCCATGCCGCGATGGCGATGTTGCCTTCACGAGCCTCGAAACGAGTTTTTCATCAACCATGTTTGCGCGGTGGCTGGCGAAAGTAATGCTCTGCTATGCTGCGATGTGCCTTTCATATTTTTATGTGGTCATTCGAGTTTAGCATCAGGAGTTTCAGAACTCACGTATGCACTTCATGACAACAGGTTCATATTCTACTTCTCAACTGTTGCGGTGTGAACAACAGTGCTCATGACGCGCAGGTACTCAAAGCAGTTGGGCGAAGAGGAAGAACCGACAGAACGCTGCTTTCTGCTAGCATGGCGTCGTGGGAGACCAACGTATTGCACATGACCCTTGTATGTGCCAGGAGAAGGGACCTGCAAAGGCACTATTAGATGAGGTTGGCAACGGAGCCGATGCGAATCGTGATGTTTGCGACCTTAGTTGGAGTCTTGCGGATGCGAGGCAATCCTCCAAGCAAGCAAAGCTGGTTGCGTTTCGCCCTGAGCTGTTTCAGACCCTGCAGCATTCTGTGGCTGGTGCGTGGTGAGGGACGCGTCGACGTGTACTGTATGTTTCTTCAACTACTGGTAGTAACAGTTGTTGCGGGTGTCGGTACAGTACAGTCAACAAAAAGAACTTATGTCCTCCCTGCAATGCAGCAAACACAGTGATGGTCATCCGCCTGGTTCTGGGAGAGCCTTCTTTCAAGCTAAACGTCCCAGGCTGCTTGCTCCGCGGCATTCAGGCAGCAAATGTTTAACGATCAGGGATCCTTCCCAGATTCGATTCCAGGCTGTAGTGGCAACACCACGCTCTGTTCCGAGCCCACACGTGGCAGATACCGGCAGCCCAGATCTTTGTCTCTTATCCGAGACCGACACAGCCGGTTCTTGCCACTCGCTCCGAGTCAGCACCCCGCAGTTTCCGAGCTCCGACCCTCAACCCAGGCAGTTTGCTGCCGAAACCCTTACCATGAGTGACCATGGTTGAGCTGTAACCCTTTTCCAGGAAGGTGGTAGAGTCGTCGTGACTTTTCGGTTTTGCAGTAAGCATACCAGCAAATCGAGAACTCACAGCGACCAGCGGCTGTGACACGAGCCTGCCGTGAATAACTACTTGCAGAGCTTGCC